TGAAAGGCTAAATCTTTGGATTTTCATACTATTTGGAAAAGGAGTAGGTTCTGTTAATAGGACAGACTTCATGCAACATATGTTAAGGAAAAAATTGGAAGCACTTAAAAAATACAAGCTTGGAAGCTCAATCTTGCAAAAATGGAAAAAAAATTCCTTAAAATATTTTGGAGCTTTTAGGAGAAAGTCAATAATAAAATTAGTACGGAACATGGAGAAAGGGCTTTATGAGTCAAGTGACTGTTGTTTTTCTAAATGTCAGCATGGAAACCCAAACAGAAAGAGGTGAGTTGGGTCCCTGGAAAGACTGACTGGGAAAGCTGAGTGTTAAGTTTGTGACGTGGTTGATGGCAACCAAAAATTGTCAAGTGCATGATGACAAAGTATTTCCTGGAACTAGGGGCTGCTTCGAGACATACAAACAAGGGTAATGTTGTGGGGGCATGTGCTTTAAACCAACATAAAATCTATATGTGATGATATTGCCAGCAGTTTGAACAATGTCAGACGGAGCTCTCTGGAATTTGGAAACCATTCACAGAGAGTTTGAGCTGTATACTGAACTGACAATCTTTGTATACAGCAGGGGAAAATAACCAACTTTGAAACATAACTTATACTCTGCTTTTATTTTTGCATCAGGTAAAACAACCAGTTTTAAAATATAAGTTGCACTCTGCTTTCATTTAATGTCGTGATCTTGAAAATATACTCCTTACCTATTAACAAAGGAGTAACTTTGTTATAGCTTTAGAGTCTCAGCCTGAAAATCATATTTAATTCAGTACTTAATTTTAATCAAAGATAATTTTATCTAAATGTGTGACCAAATACTCTAAGTCAGGCAGGAAAGTGTGTTTTATTTTAAGGTTACCATAACTCTCTAGGTTTTCTTATATGTGGAAAGGAAGGCTTGGTCTAAACTGTCTATAAGAGTTTATGGAGATTAAAAAAAATTTTTTTTAATTATACTTTAAGTTCTGGGGTACATGTGCAGATCTTGCAGGATTCTTACATAGGTATACACATGCCATGGTGGTTTGCTGCCTCTGTCACCCCATCACCTACTTTAGGTATTTCTCCCGATGTTATCCCTCCCCAATCTCCCCACCCCCTGCTATCCCATCCCTAGCCCCTCACCCCCCAACAGACCCCAGTGTGTGATGCTCCCCTGCCTGTGTCCATGTGTTCCCATTGTTCAACACCAACCTATGAGTGAGAACATGCGGTGTTTGGTTTTCTGTTCTTGTGTCAGTTTGCTGAGAATGATGGTTTCCAGATTCATCCATGTCCCCACAGAGGACATAAACTATGGAGATTTTTTTTAACCCACCCTTGAAATCAAACTCAGATGGTGTTGATATTTTCTAGATTGCTATTAGTTCCAATAGAAGGGGAGCCTAAAGGGTAGTGTGTGTGCGTACGTGTGCACGTGCATGTGTGTCTGTATCAGACACAACCACAATGCTAATATATGTACTAATATATATTATACTTACAAATAAATATGGTGCTTTAGATATTTACCACACTGTAAACAAAATAAGAAACTCTTTCTGTGAAAACTAGATAAGGGCTGGGTGTGGTGGCTCACATCTGTACCCAGCACTTGAGCCCAGGAGTTCAAGACCAGTCTGGGCAGCATGTGAAACCTCGTCTCTACAAAATAAAAAACTAGAAAAGAAACTTATCTAGTTTCCCCAACATGCTCTCTCAAAAACATTTTTCTCCCCATAGGAGTAAGAAAAGCACTTCACAAAGTATCTAAAACATCTACCTAAAACTTTGGCTGTTTCTGGCTCACATCTTACCATTTATGGGAAAAAATAAGAGTTTTTGTTTAAAAGTGTTTTCTCTCTAATTAAACACAGGTGGAACTTGAGTCATCAATGAATTTCTAGGAGCCGACAAACTAAAATGTCAATAAGCTGTCAAAAGACATGCTCTGGCCGGGCGCGGTGGCTCACGCCTATAATCCCAGCACTTTGGGAGGCCGAGGCAGGTGGATCACAAGGTCAAGAGATCGACCTGGTCAACAAGGTGAAACCCCGTCTCTACTGAAAATACAAAAATTAGCTGGGCATGGTGGTGCGCGCCTGTAGTCCCAGCTACTCGGGAGGCAGAATTGCTTGAACCCAGAAGGCGGAGATTGCAGTGAGCCAAGATCATGCCATTGCACGCCAGTCTAGGTAACAAGAGCGAAACCCCATTTTTAAAAAAAAGGCCTTAGGAGGAGCTAAGAAACATTAGCCTAATCATGATTCTTTCCTTTTACAAACTCTTTCCGATCCATTGGCTGGCAAGAGAAGGATAAGTCTTGCCAGATTTTTAGGGAGGAAAAAAACTCACACTCTTCTGGCCATGTGGCACTTATATTCTCTCTACAGTACATCCTAACCCTTTTGTAAAATGAAGAAAATTTGTTTAGAAAAAGGCCACCAGTGCTTAGGAAACAGACAAGCTACATGGCTTGCAAAGATTCTGTCTTCTACATACATTTATATTTGGGGTTGAGGCGGGAAATTCTTTATGCAGTGATTACAGAGCAACCCCAGCCTCCATAAAACTTTTGCTAAACCAGTAGATCTCAAATGTTCTAGTGATGGTTGCAGAACTTTGTGGGTATACTTGAAACCACTGAATTTTACACTTTAAATGGGTGAATTGCATAGTGTGTGAATTCTATCTCAATAACGTTGTTATAAAAATTGTTTAATGTGTGTAGTCAACTAGGATGCTTGTTTAAAATACAGGTTCTTGAGTCTCAGGTCAAAGGGCGGAATTTCTAGTAGCTGGGTACAGGTAACTACATTTTAAACAAACATCTCTGGTGATTCTAATGAGATGATCCACACATTTAAGGAAACAAAAGGAGATGATTTATGTTGGTATGTCCCCTAAAGCAACTAAAGAAACTCCACAAAAGGGCGGAATAATCCATTTAAAAAAAATATCCTTCAGAAATCATACTTTGATCTAATTCCCAATTTCCCATTATGAATGTGAATATTACCAGGATAACAGGAACCATGAGCAAAAATAAACTTCACTAGAGCCAGGTCAGGAGTCTCCTCAGATAATAATTAATATGAGCACTTAACAGACTGCAAAGAAATTTTCAGAACATTTTCTTACTGAATCTTCACAAAGATCTTGTAGAGTTGTAAGAGCCGTAAAAACCACCCATCTGCTATAGGTGGAAAAATGTATTCACCAAGGTTTACTGTTTTGTCTCAAAACACCCAAGTGATAACTGAACAATTGGTTTGGAACCCAGTTCTTTTGACACATAGTTCAGCATTCTTTTCACTATAAAAATCTGTCTTTAAAAATGCTTTCTTAGCGTGTACCAGCATAGCCTGTCCCTAACCTTTAGAAGCTATTGTTTGAGCACATTTGTAAAGTTCTGTTGCTAATGGTGCTAACAAATTGCACATTTCTTTTTTCTATCTGCAACACAAAAAGAAAAGGCACAATTTGACACATTTACCCCAAATTCTCCATGACATGCTTATATGAAAAACTGGATTCTTGTATGTCAGTAGAGAGGAGCATATGTGAGTGAGTGTGTGTGTTTTTATATATTAAGAGACAGAGAGAGACACATTATATCTCTATGTGTATGTGAGCTGTTAAGTAGAACTAACATATACTGGGTAATTACTGTGCTGTAAATCTACTTCCTTCCTGTCACCAACCTTCCCCAGTTTCTTGAAGATATATACATCTGGCTCACTGTCTGCTCTACTCAGATCTCTCCATTCTCCTGAGGTGAATTAAATGTCCTTCTGAATGTCACAGGCCTCTCAATTCCTTGATCTTCTCATCTTTATTAACCTTCACCTCCATCCCACTTTAGGTATTCACTCTGGACCACATCATCACCCTGAGCTTCCCCATATTTGAAATGTTTATTCCAGGCTGGGGACGGTGGCTCATGCCTGTAATCCCAGCACTTTGGAAGGCCGAGGCAGGCGGATCACTTGAGGTCAGGAGATCAAGACCATCCTGGCCAACGTGGTGAAACCCCATCTTTACTAAGAATACAAAAATTAGCTGGGCATGGTGGCGCGAGCCTGTAATACCAGCTAAGGCTGTAATCCAAGCTACTCAGGAGGCTGAGGCACGAGAATCGCTCGAACCCAGGAGGTGGAGGCTAGCATGAGCTGAAATCCGCCACTCCAGCCTGGGCAACAGAGCCAAGACTGTCTAAAAAAAAAAAAAAAGAAAAGAAAAAGAAATATTTATTCCAAATATCCCACTTATTACAGCTTTCTACTTTGACCTCAAGGAATTCTCCAAGCATCTGGACAACCCATTTTTCTCTATACTTTTTTCAAGAAACTCTTAGATTCTACATTCTTCTCTTCAGTCATATTCTTGTCAATTCCCAGACTTCCTGGCACCATTGTCCTTTTGCTACGGACACCTAAGAGAATCTCTGCCCAGGCAACCTGGTGACCTCCTTCCTCTGTGACTACTTCAACGGCTGGTGGCTCTCCACAGTCTTCCCTCAAGGCCTCATGAGGTCTCAGTGCTGACTGGAAATCCTTCCAGTCTTTAGAGTTTTTTCACTTTCTTCAGGTCTTTCAACATAATAAGCTGACCGTAAGGCTAGTTAGAGAAACTCTTTTTTTTTTTTTTTGAGATGGTGTCTCACTCTGTTGCCCAGGCTGGAGTGCAGTGGCGCAATCTCAGCTTCCTACAACCTCCGCCTCCCAGGTTCAAGTGATTCTCCTGCCTCAGCCTCTCAAGTAGCTGGGACTACAGACATGCACCACAACACCTGACTAATTTGTGTATTTTTAGTAGGAATGTGGTTTCACAATGTTGGTCAAGATGGTCTTGAACTCATGACCTCAGGTGATCCACCCACCTCGGCCTCCCAAAGTGTTGGAATTACAGATGTGAGCCACCACAACTGGCCAGAAGGCTTTTTTTTTTTTAAATGGGAAAGTCTTCAGTTTACTATTTCTAAACCTATAAAATTAACTGTATACCAGAACCCATCTGTTGCTGCTTTTCTTTTTCTACATTGAGATAGGTGAGTCTCTCTTCTACTTCAGGGAGACACTTAAAGTACTTTTCACACATCTTTATTGTCTTCCCCTCTCTGATTCCTTCATATTTTTTCCAAACATACTGAATCCTCTTGTCTTAAAATACAAAGAAACAAAAAACTTTTCTTACTTCAAACTTTCCAGAATCTACCAACCGTTTATTTAGTTGCTCAAATTAGAAGCTTAGGAATCATTATTTATTCCTTTATCTTTTTATCCATTATATGCAACCGATAAACAAGCTCTATCAAATCCATTACCTCAGTATCTTTTTACTCATGCATTTTTCTCCATTTCTAATGCAAAGACTCTAAATCTGTGCTGTCCAATAAAAATATAATGTGAGGGCCAGGCACAGTGCCTCCCACCTATAATCTCAACACTTTGGGAGGCTGAGGCGGGTGGATCACTTGAGGTCAGGAGTTCGAGACCAGGCTGGCCAGCATGATGAAACTGCCTCTCTACTAAAAATACAAAAAATTATCCAGGCATGGTGGACACACCTGTAATCCCAGCTATTCAGGAGGCTGATGCAGGAGAATCACTTGAATCCAGAAGGCAGAGGTTCCAGTGAGCTGAGGTCATGCCACTACACTCCAGCCTGGGTAATGGAGCAAGACTCTGTCTCAAAAAATAAAAATGTAAATTTTACATGTATACTGAGTCACATATGTAAATTGTTTCTTTTTTTAATGGAAAATCCCAGAAATACATTTATGTAAAATCTTTAAATTTTTAGGAGCCACAAAAAGTAAAAATAAACACAGGGATTGATTTTAACAACAAATTTTATTTAATCCAAAATGTCAAAAATCTTGTCATTTTACATGCTACAATATGGACGAAACTTGAGGGCATTATGCTAAACAAAATAAGCCAATCATGAAAAGAAAAATTTTGTTGATTCCACTTGTATGAGGTACCTAGTGTAGTCAAATGCATAGAGACAGAAAGTAGAACGGTAGTTGTCAGGGGCTGAAGGAAGGGAAAAATGGGGAAATATTGTTTAATGGGTATAGGTTTTCAGTTTTACAAGATGAAAAGAGTTCTGGAGATGGATGGTTGTGATGATTGTACAACAATATAAATTTACTTAATATCACTGAACTGCACATTTAAAAACGTTTAAGATGATAAATTTTGTTATGTATATTTTACCACAATAGAAATATTTTTTAAATATTGTCATTTTAGACTGGGCATGGTGGCTGGTCATGAACTCCTGACTTCAGGTGATCCACCTGCCCTGGCCTCTCAAAGTGCTGAGATTACAGACATGAACCACCATACCCAGCCTCTTCTTGAGCCTTTTTAATGTCCAACAAATCATCAGGGACAGTCCACTAGAGGGATTCATTCATGTAATATGATTATGGGGTGGGGAGACAGAATGCATGAGGTTAAGAAATACTTGTTGTTGTTTTTTTTGTTTTGTTTTTTGTTTTGTTTTTTGAGACGGAGTTTTGCTCTTGTTACCGAGGCTGGAGTGCAATGGCGCGATCTCGGCTCACCGCAACCTCCGCCTCCTGGGTTCAGGCAATTCTCCTGCCTCAGGCTCCTGAGTAGCTGGGATTACAGGCACGCGCCACCATGCCCAGCTAATTTTTTGTATTTTTAGTAGAGACGGGGTTTCACCATGTTGACCAGGTTGGTCTTGATCTCTTGACCTCGTGATCCACCCGCCTCGGCCTCCCAAAGTGCTGGGATTACAGGCTTGAGCCACCGCGCCCGGCCAAGAAATACTTGTTTTTAGCACTTGAACACCTGCCTCCACCAGTTTCATTTTATGTAAAGAAAAGTAGGGAAGAGAAGTTGGCGTAAGTAAGCTTCTTTCACCCTCGAGCAATGCAAATTCCTGAGTGCAAGGAGCTCTGGGCAGAAGTCTTCCACTTACAGAATTATGGCAGCTTCAAGTGCTCATGCACTCAATGAAGAATTTGAGAAAGTATATGCTCAAATGCAGTGGTTCTGTACCATGTCTGCATATTAGAATCACCTGGGTAGCCTTTAAAAACAGCTACCAATTAAATAAGTAGATTAGGAGGTGCGATCCAGGCATCAATATTTTTTTAAACCTTGCCAGGTACCTCCAATGTGCAGCCAAAGCTGAGAACCACTGGCTTCATAATACACTTCTTATGCTGGCATGCTAAAGGCTCTCAAGCTAGTGGCTCTCAGCCTTAGCTGCGCATTGGAATCATCTGAGAATTTTAAAAAGTATTGATGTGGATAAAATGGGGAAATGTTGGTCAAAGGGTACAAATTTCAGTTATAAGATGAACAAGTTCTGGGATCTAATGTACAGCATAGGTGGTGGTGGATGTGCTAACTTGATTGTGGTAATCATTACACAGTGAACACATATATCAAATCATCATGTTGTACAACACCTTGAATACACTAAACATTTGTCAATGTATTTTTATTTAAAAAGATATATTTATTTAAAAAGATACTGATGCCTGAACTCACCCCTAGAGATTCTGATCTAATTGGTCTCGGTTTAGGTTCAAGCAAGCATCAGCATTTTTCAAAGCCTTCCTCAGTGGTTCTAATGTACAGTCAGGAGTAAGAACCACTACCTGGACTGGGAATAAACATTTTAGCTTGTAGCCAGCTCTCAGGGAAGTATGCTCAACACCTCCTGGACAAAAAATGCCAGGAGCTAAAGCAAGATAAGTGAAAACAGTGCCAGAGGTAGATGTCACCTGCTTCAAAAGGGGGTTGAAAGTCAATCCTTGTGTATTAGTTACAGTTTCCCAGAGGGACAGAACAAATAGGATATATGTATATATGCAAGGGAGTCTATTAAGGAGTGTTGACTCACACCAATCACAAGGAAAAGTCCCACTATACGCTGTGTGTAAGGTGAGGAAGAAAGAAGCCAGTAGTGGCGCAGTCCAAATCCAAAAGCCTCAAAAGTAGGGAAACTGACAGCGCAGCCGTCAGTCTGTGACTGAAGGCCTGCTAGCCACCAGCAAACCACTGGTGTAAGTCCAAGAGTCCAAAAGCCGAAGTACCCGGAGTCTGAAGTCCAAGGACAGGAAGCATCCAGCATAGGAGAAAGATAAAAGCCAGAAGACTCAGCAAGCCAGCTTATCCCACCTTCTTCCATCTGCTTTGATCTAGTTGCACTGGTAGCCAATTGGAAGGTGCCCACCCACATTGAGAGTGGGTCTCCGTCTTCCAGTACAATGACTCAAATGTTAATCCCCTCTGGCAACACTCTCACAGACACACCCAGATAAAATACTTTACCAGCTATCTAGGCATCCTTCAATCCAATCAGGTTGACACCTCACATTAATCATCACACCTTGTGAATGGTATGTGTGTGACACAGACTGAGAATAGGGGAAGTCTGTCTCTAACCAAGAGAGATGTGGGGAGCATAGATGATAGAACTAGATTTTAAATATTCCATAATTTTCGATATTTGGTGTATTATGCCATTCTTGCATTGCTATAAAGAAATACCCAAAGGGCAAGGCGCGTTAGCTCACACCTATAATCCCAGCACTTTGGGAGGCCGAGGCAGGTGGATCACAAGGTCAAGAGATCGAGACCAACCTGGTCAACAAAGTGAAACCCCGTCTCTTCTAAAAATACAAAAATTAGCTGGGCATGGTGGCGCGCACCTGTAGTCCCAGCTACTCGGGAGGCTGAGGCAGGAGAATTGCTTGAACCCAGAAGGCGGAGGTTGCAGTGAGCCGAGATTGTGCCATTGCACTCCAGTCTGGGTAACAACAGCGAAACTCCATCTCAAAGAAAAGAAAAAAATACCCAAAGGCTGGGCTCAGTGGCTCATGCCTGTAGTCCCAGCACTTTGGGAGACCAAGGCAGGCAGATCACAAGGTCAGGAGTTTGAGACCAGCCTGACCAACATGGTGAAACCCTGTATCTACTAGACATACAAAAATTAGCTGGGTGTGGTGGCACACACCTGTAATTCCAGCTACTCAGGAGGCTGAGGCGGGAAAATCGCTTGAACTCCAGGGGACAGAGGTTGCAGTAAGCCAAGATGGCACCACTGCACTGCAGCCTGGGAGACAGAGTGAGACTCTGTCTCAAACCAACAACAACAACAACAACAAGAAATATCCAAGACAGACAGTAATTTTTTTTTTTTTTTTTGAGACGGAGTCTTGCTCTGTTGCCCAGGCTGGAGTGCAGTGGCACCATCTCCACTCACTGCAACTTCCACCTCCTGGACTCAAGTGATTCTCCTGCCTCAGCCCCCTGAATAGCTGGGATTACAGGCGTGTACCATCACACCCGGCTAATTTTTGTATTGTTAGTGGAAATAGGGTTTTACCAAGTTGGCCGGGCTGGTCTCGAACTCCTGACTTCAGGTGATCCACCTGCCTTGGCCTCCCAAAGTGCTGGAATTGCAGGCATGAGCCACCGTGCCCAGCTGGAGATGGTAATTTTTTTTTTTTTTTTTTTTTGTTTTTTTTGAGACCGAGTCTCCCTCTGTCACTAGGCTGGAGTGCAGTGGTGCAATCTCAGCTCACTGCAACCTCCAACTCCCTGATTCAAACAATTCTCCTACCTCAGCCTCCCCAGTAGCTGGGATTACAGGCATGTGCTACCACTCCCAGCTAATTTTTATATTTTTAGTAGAGATGGGGTTTCACCATGTTGGCCAGTATGGTCTTGATCTCCTGAACTTGTGGTCCACCTGCCTCAGCGGTAATCCTAGAGTGCTGGGATTACAGGCATGAGCCACCGCGCCTGGCTGGGAGACAGTAATTTTTAAAGAAAATAGGTTTGATTGACTCACAGTTATGTAGGCTATACAGGAATTATGATGCTAGCATCTGTTAAGCTTCTGGGGTTGGGACTCAGGAAACTAACGTTTATGGTGAAAGACAAAGCAGGAGCAGGCACTTCACATGGTCAGAGTAGCAACAAGAGACTGGGGAAAGGTGTCACACACTTTTAAACAAACAGATCTCACAAGAATTCACTCACTATTGTACGAGGACAGTACCAAGAGGATGGTACTAAACCATTCATGAGAAACCTCCCCGTGACCCAATCACCTCCCAGAAGGCCCCATTCCAACGCTGGGGATTACAACTGGACATGAGATTTAGGTGAGGACACAGATCCAAACCATATTATTTGGTCATTGTCTTTACACATTTGAGCAGAGCTGGATCAAGAAGTTTTCCTGAAAAAGCCCCTAGTCCCAAAGTGCACCGCCTGTATCACCTCTCCCATCAGCCATGGTGGCTGAAGAAACCCACTAAGTCAGAGCCTTTTTGGTTAAGGTAGGCCAGTAAAACAATTTCACATCCTCTGTTGGCTTTAGAGCTCTAAATCAACTTTACATCTTCTGTTGGTCTTAGAGATCAGCCTCATTTACTTTATCAGATGCACCTACATAGCTCTGGACTTGTGAAATGGGAGGAGTGAGCATTTAAAAGAGATCTTTTCGGGGCTCTGAAATTTCAGAATTGCTTGCGAAAAAAAGTGCCCAAAACGGAAGGCCTCAGGTGATGGAGAAATAAGCTATAACATGAGGAAGAGGATCCCCCCAAAACTGACAAAGTTGAGGTCACCAGAGGCCAAATATACTTTTCTCACAGTGAACCTGGATAGTATAGTTTTAGTTTGCATTTGGTGGAAATGGCTGTGTCCCCATTTGCTGAATCAGAATCAATTGAAGATGTCCATGTTCTAGTGCCTGAGGATGGAATGCAGGGGGTGATTTGGAAATGTTCACGCTTGGCAGAGCAGAGTTCTTCAATAACTGTCCTCTTAAACATTCTGTATTGTAGTTGAATTAGATCAGCCTGTGTCCTGTTCTAGTTCAAACCAAAATCCAATTATGAGCCATTATTTGTTTAAATTACTGTAAGCAAACACAATGGTTTGTTTATTTTTAATTCAGAAGTTGATTGTGAAACTTGAGATTTACTCAGGGTGATGTTGAAACCTCTGTTTTCTGCTCTGGCTCTCGACTTGCTGACCAAATGGTCATTTGTCCGGAGTGACAGTGACCTAGCTCCCTCCACACCAGATCTCCCCCTTGCTCCCATCGGAGTGTCTAAGGCTTCCATCACTCAGCCTGGAGTGGTATTAGCTTAAACTGCACTGGCACTGGAAAAGTCAAACGTACCTCATCTCACTATACTGCAAGTCAGCACATCGATTTACCTAGCAATCAGCCAACTGGAGAGGCAATTTCAGAGGGAACAGGACTAGAGGTAGTCTTTTAATTTGGAGCTTGGGTACCATAAGTGGTTAGAGAGAGTACAGAGGATGGTAAAGGAGATGTTCAATGACTTACATTATTATCACCACGCACTAATCTGCAAGACTGGCCCAGGGTGTAAATATCAAAAGGAGAAAAAAAAAAAATCTACCTGGAGCAAGTTCTCTGTCCCGATCTTATCATCATTTATATATGATTAAGCTACAGGGAGGGCGGTGGTGTCACACTCTTTCTTTCAGTTTGAGCCCCCATGAAAATGAAGAGCAAACTGCAAATTATGTTTATCTGCAAGGGGTCATCTGGCTGTAACCCCTACATAAGCCAGGTATGAGAATTTGTCATGAACACGTGGTTTTCCTGAAAGGTGCATTTATTTTCGGGGATGAAGGGTGTTCAGGTAAATCCATAAGGTTTTCGTGTGCGAAGAGAAGGTCTCCACCTTTCTGCTCCACGAACCAGTCTCCTGGGCACCAGAGGCGAGGCTCGCGGCGCGGCCCGAGCGCTGGGCCCGGGCTCGACCCGCAGCAAAGCCCGAGGCGGGACCCACCACGGCCTTCTGGATCTCCGGCGCCTGCGCGATAAGCCTGGGGAGATGTCAGCTCCGGCAGGCAATGGGCACCGGGGAGTCCCGACGCTATGGCCACGCAGGGCAAGGGATCCTTCTCCTACCCGAGGTTCTGGTCGCCAGGCAGAAGTGCTCAGGAGTGAAGCACTCATTGGTCCCCACTGAGCGTTTCGTTGCCAGCTTGTTTCGCGAGGTCTGAATGCACCATGGAAATAACCTAGGGTGGGTATGGGAAAGAAAGAAACATTTCAGAAGCACTCACCAATATAAATTCTTAAAAATAAAAATCTTAATACAATAATTTAGCGATAGACCAAATGAATACAGATACCAGAAAAGAAGCTTTCGGCTGGGGGATGTAGCTCAGTGGTAGAGCGCGCGCTTCGCATGTGTGAGGTCCCGGGTTCAATCCCCGGCATCTCCAAGACAGCCAACTTCCACTTTTTTCTTTTCTCCTTTCTTTGTTGTTTTGGAACATTTACGCTATTACCTGTACATACATTTTGTTCACATCTAGGCCGCCCGAAAATAACAGAAAGGGTAAGCTAAAAAAAAAAAAAAAAAAAAAATCTGTAAAACAACCTTTATGATTATTTGAAGTAAAAGTGAAATAAGAAATTCGCTTTGGTTAACTTTTTTTATTTGCATGAGGCCAGCGTTTAAAGGCTGTTATTGAATTTTGAGGCTTCCGTGATAACCACATTAAAAAAATAAATAATATCAAGACTGCATTGGCCGGGAATCGAACCCGGGCCTCCCGCGTGGCAGGCGAGAATTCTACCACTGAACCACCAATGCCCTCGAAAATAATGCCCCTCTATTGCTCACTAAAAGAAATTTATGCCCTGGTAATCATTGTATTCTAGCAATAACTATGTATGTGTGTATTCAAAACTAGAGAAAACAAACTTTTAATCACATCATTATAAAATATTGGGAAAACATTAACATTTACAAAAAAATTTATTATAACTTCTGTAGAACTTTATGAGATTCTTTCTTCCCAAACTCTCTTTGGTGAAGGAGGCAAATGAAGATTTTGTTATTTCTGCACAGGATTACACAAACACCTAGCCCATCTTCAGACACTTAGATAATTTATAACAACTCTCTCCCAACCCACCGCGGTGTTTTTCTTTTATTATTTTACCTATTCAGACAAAATACATCCTGGAGATTTGTTAGAAATTGGGAATAGAGGCAAAGAAACAGGGAACGGAAATTTGAAGACGGACCCAAATTTATAATACGGAAATTGGTAAATTGGAAC